GGAAAAGCTGTATTGCTATAAGCATTCTTATACTAGTATATCTGCATCCACACTCGGAGGGTTATGCAGCTTTAACTACACTGGGATAACTGAAGTAGTACAACTTTTGAGCATAGATAAGATCTAAGGCCAAGTGCACACTACAAAATTTTGTCAGCACAGCTATGCTAGTTAGGTATATAAACCCCTCCCCCCCCCGCCTCCTAGCCAACATAGCTATGTGGGCAACCCCCCAGGGTAGATGCTGCTATGCCGACAGAAGAGTGCTGGTGTTGGGATAGCTAATGTCTTTTGGGGAGGTGGTGTTACTCTACCAGCAGGGCTATGTCACAAATAGCTGTGTAAGTGTAGCTGTATCGGCAGAGCCTGGATAGTGACTGTAGAATAGCCCTAAGACCACACTAGAATGAGCAGCTCTCAACAAAACTAAATGGAGAGAAAAAACCCTCCTAGAAATGCTCCTCCAGAATATGATGGAACTTCCCTGGAAAAATTCAATCAGCTGTGGGCTATGGCTTGGGTGTGGAGTATATGACTGAAGCAATTTCTATCAGAAGTAGACCAGGGGAAGGATAAATAAGATTCTATCACAACAGCAGCAACAAAGCTTCCATCAGGACCTGAATTCTCAAGACATTGGATGAAAGCAGGTGGCAATCAGCTGTCAGTGCGGTTACTAAGTATCTTTCCTACTTTGGTCCTCAAATGGCAAGTGTAGGTTTGTTTTTTGTTCTTTATTTTAACCACTGGGACAATGGCTCAGGGTTTTATCTGCTCAATAGATGTGAGGTGTTAAACATATTTCCAGCAGAACAGAAATAATGCTAGCGTGTGGGAGGGTGTAACTTGTTGGCAAGGATCAGATGGGCATCTCTAACAATATCAATTTCCTGTAGTTACACCAGTGGCAGGGATGGATTCACCATCCTCTTCACAGCATCTTCTATGCAAGTTGTTTTGCCTCAGTTTCTACAGAATGTGTATTTTGCTGGTAGAGGCATTTGTCTGGGACTAGTATGGGCCATTCTCCTTCTCCTCTCTTTCTCTTTATCCCGGGGCTCACTGTAAGTTTCCCTTAGAGAGGAAGGAGTTGCCGCTGTCAGGAAACTGTGGCATTGGAAGCTTGTAAATGTGCAAGTGGTAGCAAAAGATTAACCACAGAAGTTAAACTTAGCACTGGGGGAAACAAAAGCTTCCGAATCCAAGGAACCACATGCTGCTCAGAACCACTGAAACCCAGGGTCCTTAGTTCAGAAGCATAACAGCAGCTGCACAAGGCTATAAGCCAGTAATCAGTCTGTGACGTTCATTCCTGAATGTCGCTCAGTTCCTTCTCTTAAAGTCAGTAGCTGAAGCCTCAATGTATTTGCTTTAAAATGAAATGTAAGAATCTAGCTGTTAGTTGCCAAATGGTTCCTCCAGAGTCTCAAGTCTTGCCAAAGAGACCTAGCTCTTGGTAGTTCTGGTGGGAAGGCAATATGTCAAGGCATTTATAAAACGATAAATCCTTTGAGATCTGTGAATAGATGATGAACTATAAGAGTAATGAATGCTTTTGGAAACTTCATGTTGGACAGTAAGCAATTTGGAGATGGGCCTGTAATGTCCTGTATGTGCTTGTATACCAGCTCATTTAAGCTTTTATATGCTACATAATGCAATACTACTATTTAATTCTTGTAACACTCATGTAATGTATGGCACCATATTTTTATACTATAGCCATTCTAGAGATAGATAAATCAAACTACTCAAAAGTTAAAATGGAGCCCAGAATGTGAGTCAGTGGCAGAACCTGGAAACAGAACCCAGGAGTCTTGTTTCCCAGGGCTATGCTCTAAGCATTTGACAGTTTTATAGCCCCCTGGTTTCCCTCCCTTTTTTTTTTTTTTTTGGTTTCTGGACTTTCCCTAGATTGGTGGCCCTCACAATTTTGTGAATATAATTCACCATTGACACTTCCATACAAATCTGCAAGTCAGTAAGAAGTGGCCAAATGCAAGTAAAAATGACCTGGGTACTGCAAAGCCTCCAATTAAAAAATATAAAATAAAATAATCACTGCATGCAACAGTGAAGGAGAAGCTGCTTCAGGCCAGTTTAATACTCCATAGTTTTCCTGTGAACACTTATAGTTTCACTGCACATCCATGCATTGGAGCAACTTTTTAGAGCCTATGATGCTGCATCTACTTTAGCTAGAGATGGATTTATTGATGGGAAGATTCTTCACAGTTTGAGCAATTCCAAAGATAATACACAAATAGAGTAGCTGATATGTTGGCATGATGATAAAATACTTCAGCTGTTCTCCTTTGTAGGCTTTAATGGAGCCTCCCATGCAAAAACTAAGATGGGCCAAAATCACTAGTGCAACCCCATGGCTGTGAAACAAGTTCTTCAGGCTTTTACAACTAGACTATCAAGTTGCCATAGACTGAGTGCATCACAGCATGTTGCTGTCTTGCAGGGAAGCCCTGGCAGGAGTGGATAGTCTGGGAGTGGTCTGCCTTTGTCTGTTCTTCTCAGCGAACTGATGTGCGCAATAGCTCCTCTTCCACAAGATTACTCAAAATGGAACCCACCAGTGATCAGTATAGTCTCTCCACCTTTTCAGCATATCTGAGACCTCCTGGAGAGAGACAGGGAAATGCCATGGGCTCTCATGCCACCAATACACTGATGACAAATAGCTTGAGGTTGTATTGGAACAAACACAAGATCAACATCCAAGTAATTAAATTACGTATTCAAAAGGAGGAAAAACACCATAATGGTAGATCTAATGAGCTGAGGTACAAATAAAATACATTGTATGGCTGCCATAAAAATTAACTCCAAATATACTTAAAGGTTATGAAGTTCTAACTACACATCTAGGGTGGAATCCTGGCCCTGCTGAAGTCAATGGGAGTTTTGTCATTGACTTCAATGGAGACAGGATTTCACCCTTAGGGTACGTCTTCACTTACATCCGGGTCCGGATGTAAGCAATCGGTTTTCTGAGTTCGATTTATCGCGTCTGGTTAAGACGCGATAAATCGATCCCGGATCGATCCCGGAAGTGCCCCGGATCGATCCCGGAAGTGCTCGCCGTCGACGCTGGTACTCCAGCTCGGCAAGCGGAGTACGCAGCATCGACGGGGGAGCCTTCCTGCCGCGTCTGGACCGCGGTAACTTCGGACTAAGGTACTTCGAATTCAGCTACGTTATTAACGTAGCTGAATTTGCGTACCTTAGTCCGAAGTGGGGGGGTTAGTGTAGACCAGGCCTTAGTGTTTAAAACACAGGTATAATGCTGATTTGGGGAAAGTGTTTGTATATCACTTTCTTGGCTTAGCTGATGGAAGTTTTAGACTATTATTGAATAAGGAGAAATCATGAAGTCCTTTTTCAAAGGGCTAAGGGTCAGAACTGACAGATTTCCAGAATAAAACCTGCCCCATGAAGCTAGAGTAAAAACCAAAGAGAAACACAAAAAGGCATTATTTGCTTGTCAGTGGAGCTATTACTAGCTTCATTTTTACATTACATCTTTGCTTTAAAATAATTCAATATTTTATTTGATAAACTTGGTTGATCTTCTGAGGTAGGCTGGATAATTAAGCTCTCTAATCCATTGGTAAGCTTTAGAAAAAAAATCCAGTTGACTTTGGACAATAAACCTCTGACTGCTAGAACCTGGGCCTGGACGACATGGAGTGGATTACTCTACAATTGCCCTCTTCTGTGCATTCCCTCTACAAGCATCTGGCACCAGCCAGTCAGAAGACAGGATACAGGGCTAGATGGACCATTTGTCTGATTCAGTATGGCCATTCTTATGTGCTTATGGATCACAGACTGGGATAAGGACTAAAACAATCATATTTTCCTGAAAATTTTATTTATGTAGCTTCTAATGTGCATTCCTTATAGATACTGAAGTGTGAGCCTCTGAATGTTTGGAAATTCAGATATTAATGCATAACCTCTATCTAGCACTTTGTAGCTTCAGCTCTTATCTGACAACCAGAGAAATGTCACACAAAAGCCCTGGAAGGAACCTAAGAATTATCTTACACATGGTGAAACAGAGACAAAGATGTTAAATGACCTGCTGACGGTTACAGCAGGAGTCTGTTTAAGAGAGAGGACAGAGGAACTACTGACTTTCAGATCTGTGCTCAAAACCATTTCTCCCTCTCTGATAAATGCCAACATTTCAGATACTGTTCTTGTCAGACCTTTTCATTCAGCTAAATTGGGCTGGAGATCTCTGATGCACTACCTTCCTTTAAGATATTTCAGTACTTGTTGCATCTGGATGGGATGGGATATAAAGTAATGTTATGGCAGGTGTCACCAAGTGACACTGTTACATTTAGTCTTCCAAGTTCTTTCTTAGCGTATAAGCAAATGTTTAGTCTTGGAGAGACATGCTATTTGTTGTTATATTTGAACTTTGCGAGCAGCAGGAGAGTTTGCTTTCTGACTTGGTCTCTAATTAGCGGCAATTCTTAAAGTAGAGTTGCTCCCTGGGAACCAGGCATTGGTGTTGGGCTGAGATTCTTGAGAGAAGAAATTGCTTACATGCCTTTTGACCATGTTTGTTCCAGGACTGATATATGCATGTAAATAAAACAAATTATGCTTAGACCATTCCCAGACACCATGTCACTAATTTCTCCACCACTGCAAAACTGACCTGCAAGACCCCGGGGACATCTGTTTCTGCTCTGCAGGAGAGCAACAATAACATAAGAATAGGCTCTCTCATAGTAAGTTAGCACACCCACCTTTGGTGAGAACCATTATATGTAGAGTCAGTAGGAAAAATAATTTTTGAAAAGTTACTTTGTTTAAGTTCTGTTGATTGTTTACATTCTGGGCAGAGGTTAAAGTTAGTTCTTATTTTTTCCAAACTGATTTGTTTAGCACTACTTACAGAAGGTTTGTTGTGCACTTCAGAATGGTGTCTGCTAATCAACTTACATAACTGTCCGCCTTTGTGATTTCAGTGCAAGGAATTCACTGTCCACTCTGGCTATGAGGTACTTCTCCAGCGAATGTTGGATGGGAGAAAGATGGCAAAAGATGTGGAGGACTTGCTCAAACAGAGGTAAGAAGTGGTGGTGAAGGAGGTATGAAAAACTATTTATGAACTCATCTCACCTACTCCTGAACACTCTTGCAGGAGCTGCAGGAGGATTCTGCGGGTCACTTCAGAATTTGATTCAGAGAGTACAGTCATACATGTTTTTAATAGAGAAGTCTGTACAGAAATGATCTCAGAGCCAACGAGTTCTTAGCAGCAAAGTCAGACACCACGTTGGCATATGAATCATTTGAATGATGATCCCTCCCCCTCCCCCACACTCCGCATAGCTAATTTAAGACATATTTCCGAAAATGAAATGAATGAAAATAAACAATGTCAGAGTTACTCCTTGTCATGCAGTTAAACAATGCTTGGAGGAGGAATCATAGACATGAGCAAGAGGAAAGACTAAGTCATCTAGCCCTCTCTACCAATGCAGGATTTTTCCCCTTGCACTATACGTAGAGATAGACCTGAGTTTCAAAGTTAAGATCCAAATTTTCCCAAAGATTTTTTTTGATGGGGGTGCAATAGGAGGAGGTTTGGAAGGACTTTAGATCCCGAGTTCCATTCAGACCCATCTCTAATCAGTTCTGTGTTGTAAATACATACTTAACTGCACATGCCCAATTTATTGACTAAAACAGCAATCCTCTTTATTAACATCCAGAAGTGAAACATCACTGTTTTCCCTCGTTCACAGAAAGCCAATGCTTCACACATATTATAATATGCTATTAGCCACAGTGGGTCAATTTCCTATAATTACTGAAATTTGATCTTTCTTTTGGTGTAACCAGGGGTATGTATGGTAGCTCTGCATAGACCTTTCCCAGGCATTCCAGGATTGACCATATTATTCTCCCATCTTTTCTTGTTCCTAGACCCTCTTTGAACATACTGTACGCATGTGTGTCCATCTGCAGCCTGTTTCTCACAGGTTGTCCCACAGCAACATGTGGTGGTTGCCATTAGTTTCTTGGTTAGAAAATACATAGAAACCGAGGCCACTCTTCTGTCTCATTTTTGTCCTTCATTTTTAGCTGAGACTTAGAAAAGTTCTATTCAGTATTTAGTTCCAGTTTTAATTGGCTGTGTTTAAACAACTTTAAGCCACCATGTCCGCTGTATCGTGCTACCCCAAGGCTATTAACTCATTGAAATGTAAATAGTCTCCCACAAACATTTAAGTGGTTTGGGTTGATTTCCTTGAACGCTAATGGAAACGTCTTTTACTGTGTCACACAATCCCGCAGCAGTCTCATAACGACATTAGGTGAAGAGACTTTGTTGTGGCTCCTTAAACTCCTGGAGATCAAACTCTTTCTTGCATGTGTCTGTAGTCGCTAGGAATTATGGTATGTGACTGAGATTATGGAGGGGTGGAGGTGGGGGGTTTCCATCATTTAAAGGATAAGCCTAACCATGGCTTGCAGGATGTGCAAAAAGGACTTTCCACAAAGCAGGAGAAAGATTCATCTCAAAGCCATTCTGAAACAAGTAGCTGCAGAAATCTCTCAGAATTGTTCTTTCCATGAATTCTCACCCCCCTCCAATCCACTCCTCTGACCCGTAGTCCTGTACGTGTATGTGCACACGTGCGGCGCCTGTCAGAATCTCTTTACTTTTGGCTAGAAATGCATTGAAGCTGCCTCTTCCAAGAGTGATGCAAGTGCATGTTGGTGAGAAGGACAGAAGAGGGAGAAAGATGGGACAAACCAAACCTTTACTCTTGGAAGCCACATGAGTCTCAGTCAGTGATTTTATGACAGCAGCTGCTGAAAGGGCCTTGTTGACACCAACAATGGGTGCATTTTTGCCATCTATCTCAAAAGCAAACAAATTCTGTCCACGGCTATCCTGTTCTATGCACAAGGATGGGGTAAGATTACGGGGAGGATTAGGACAATGGTTCTTTAGGACAAACAGCAAATTTAACTCACTCATTTTACATAAATGCTATGCATGTAAGATTGTTAGGTCCTTCCATCTCTGTTTGTTTCAGTCTGGTTATGTTTTCAGGCGCTCTTCACAAAGTTTTAGAAACCTACTTTTAATTTTAAATGAGAACTACAGTTCTCCTTTATGGGGCCCAAACATTGATTCTATTAACAACTCCTGTAAGTCCCCTCCAGCTTATCAGCAGCCTTGGTCAACCTACATATAGATCCAGTACTGTCAAATATGGAAATTCAAAAGTCATAAGTCATTCCCTCACTCCGGCCCCCAAAACCATGCGGTTTCAAGAAAATGCATTTTGCCCTCTGATTTTAGGACCTTTAAAGGTTCACATTCTGTGCAACTTTCATTAAAAAAAAAACAAAAAAACATAAGCTGAGAGTCTCATGCAAATCACCCGACTGCAGGACCTGGGGCTTCCGGAAAAACAGCAGTATCATGAGAGCTGGCAACACCCTTTGATCACCATAGCACCACCTGAGTTTAAAAGATTCCAAATCTCCAATTCAAAACAAACAAACAAAGAGCCCTGTCACAAACTCCTCCATTTACCATGCAGTTTTTGTTCATGGATGATTATCCACATTTTCATGCCTATAATCACAGAAGAATCAGAATGTATTAACAGAACAAACATTAATCACTCTTTTCCCATGTGCAGGGAGGAGAACTATAAACTGTCTAATTGGCTGCTCCTTGCAGTACAACTATTATTATTCAAACACAGTCCTCTTCTTCAGAACACACATGTATTGCATACAAATCATAAGCCAACTGGCTTCTAAGGACATTATTAGAGAGAAGAGAAGGAGAATCTTGTCACCATGTAAAAAAATTATCTGCTGTCTGAGCTGCACATATACAAGGGGACACAATAAGCTAATGTATGACAAGATCCCACTTCAAACAGTAAAGGCTCAGAGCTCTTAGATGTCTGTTTTCAATACTTCCTTAGCAACTCCAGTTTTCACTTTAAATGCTTTTGGTAGTCCAGGCATCACCCTCTTTTGAACACTGACATGGCATTACTGGCAAGGGCCTCTAGTTGTTGCATAAGCACTAGTGGTTTTGCAATGCACTGTGCTGTGGTTTTTGCTTTGCAAAAGTTTAAAACACAAGGTGTGTGTGTAATATACACATTTGCTTGAACCAATTTCCTGTATGTGGAATTAAGGCAGCAATTACAAATTAAAATTTAGATATTTTCTGTATTTAAAAAAGAGAGACGGCCAGGTTAAAAATCATATCTTAAAAAATAATAAAGTGGCTCCAATCCTCATTTGGGGCCACGAAACACACAGTGCATCCAGGGTGCATGTACAGAAAGATGGCTTTAATCCACCTTTGCACTCCCCTGATCCTATGCAGGTCTGGCCCCAAGGGGCCATTGCAGCAGGTGGAGAATTACTGGGGAGCCCTGGCTACAACCCTTTTCCCCAGCTATGCCCCTCCCCCAGATGCAAGGATGGGCCGGTGGTATGGAGCCACTATGCAAGTTCTATGTTCTGAGGATTCGCCTACACTTGGGTGATCATCCCAGGGATGGATACATTGGCTGTGGGGCTGCTTTGTGCTGCTCTAGTGGAGCAAAAGGCCCAAACACAGGTGAGGATTGGAGCTGAAGTTCCTATCTAGGGCAATGACAGCATCTCTTATTTTTAAGAGAGAAATAAAAAATGAATTTACTTTTCACTCTTTACTCTACATTTCCTCTCACTTTATCCAATTAAAGTAGACTAGTCAGTTTCACTTTGAAGGAATCTCTTACAAATCTACTGTGTTAAACAGGTAGTGAAGTGCTCTTGGGACCATACTTGATATTTAGTTCCCTTTAGTCCCAGAGGATCCCAAAACCACTTGCACATAAGCGGCTGCGTGTGCCCATCGACCACCACTTTGAAAGGGCATTCACCTCTGGGGTGGACTGCAGCAATAAGCGGGCGACGGTAAAGATGTGAAACGTCAGCAGAATAATTTATTCAAAATCTGAAATCGAATACAGCAGGTTGTAAAGTAAGGCTTATCGCAGCAAGTATATACAGAGAAGTGTTTGAAAGGCAACTAAGTATCTTTAAAGACAGAATCAATCAAATAATCTCCTTGTGGCAGGGACTTGTCTGAATCCATATGGAGAACACCTGGTGCCGGATAAACAACAAAGGTCAGAGTGACAAATCAGGGAAATGGGGCTAACATTAATTTAAATGGGGCCAAATAGCCATACACTTGTCTGGGAATTCCTTTTGGATAAAGGGGATAACTTTCAAAAGTGCCCAATTGACTTAGGAGCCTCACTAGCATTTCCAAAAGCAACTTGGGTTTCTAAGTGTTTAAAAAAACAACGAGGAGTCCGGTGGCACCTTAAAGACTAACAGATTTATTTGGGCACAATCTTTCGTGGGTAAAAAATCCACTTCTTTAGATGCATTTTTTTAAATGAAAGTTGCACAGAATGTGAACCTTTAAAGGTCCTAAAATCAGAGGGCAAAATGCATTTTTTAAAAAACCTCATGGTTTTGGGGGCCGGGGTGAGGGAATGACTTATGACTTTTGAATTCCCATGTTTGACAGTACTGGATCTATGCATAGGTTGACCAAGGCTGCTGATAAACTGGAGGGGACTTATAGGAGTTGTTAATAGAATCAATGTTTGGGTCCCATAAAGGAGAACCACAGTTCTCATTTAAAACAAAAAGTAGGTTTCTAAGCCTTTGTGAAGAGAGCCTGAAATCATAACCAGACTGAAAGGAACAGGGATGGAAAGACCTAACAATCTTACATGCATAGCATTTATGTAAAATGAGTGAGTTAAATTTGCTGTTTGTCCTAAAGAACCATTGTCCTAATCCTCCCTGTAATCTTACCCCATCCTTGTGCATAGAACAGGATAGCTGTGGACAGAATTTGTTTGCATTTGATATAGGTGTCAAAACTGCACCCATTGTTGATGTCAACAAGGCCCTTTCAGCAGCTGCTGTGATAAAATCACTGATTACGACTCATGCCCAAATAAATCTGTTAGTCTTTAAAGTGCCATCAGACTCCTTGTTGTTTTTGAGGATACAGACTAACACAGCTACCCCTCTGATACGAAGAGTTTAAGTCACTTTTGAAAATGGGACTTATGTGCAAAAGGGCACCTGTTGGGGACTCTACTCGTTTACACCAAGCATACGCCACTCAGTTATAGTCCAACTTTTCCACCCAACTGTGAGCCAAGCAAAAATAGAAGAGCCAATTTAATACAAAAATGTATTCTCTCTAAGCAGATAAGAGCTTCTTCCAAGTCAGAGGAGAACATCAGTGGGTGTCTTTTTAGATGAGCTCTTGATAGCAGTGGCACTGGGGAAAGAGAATAAAGACAGCTACAAACCAATTGTTTGCATCTCAGAGTTGGCTACAAATGCATTCTTGCAAACATGGGCCCAACCTCAACAGAAGAAAATAACTAAGGAATTTTGTTAACAGGGCACAAGCAGAAGAGAGATATGGGAAAGAGCTGGTTCAAATTGCCCGAAAAGCAGGAGGACAAACCGAAATCAAGTAAGTCTTTTTCGAGTTTGTTGCATTAAAGTGCCTCCTGTTTGATAATCAGAGACATGGCTTCACTGAAGAAAGGGTCAGGAATGTGCATTTCACACTGAACTAAGCTTACATTTCAGTTGGCTTGGGAAGCCTTATTATCCAGTAAAGTTCAGTTCACCTCATGAAGCATTCTTTCTCCATTTGGCCCCTCTCAGCAGCTTGGTAATAAAATGGCAGTTGTTGCTGGGCGTTTCTTGAACAAATTTTTATTTCAGTATTACTGACCTCTGCAACTGCTCTGTGAAGGAATGAAAGGGAAAAGAGATTTGGACTTGGGCAGATCTAGAAATCTTGGTAAAGCTTATTCTACAGCCACTTGAAAGGCTTTCACTCTTCAGCTCTATTAACTAATGTACTGCAGCATGCTCAAACAACACATGGTGCTTCTCCATGCCTTCTACTGTTTGCTGACAGTATGTATAAAGTGGGGGGAAAGAGGAGAGGTATGTGTTGGCAGGGAATTCTACTTCATAAACAGCACTGCAAGACTGCTGCTATTTCTGATTGACGCGGCAGTAATGAGACATCCTGTCATTACAGTCATAAGTAATAAGTAGTAGTAATGGTGTATTAAGGTGGAAGAGGATGAAGATTTGGGGTCACAGTAGTTAGGCTGAAAGAGTGGACTCCAATCTACACAAACCTGCACTAAAGATCCCCAGGGTCACCCACCCCCTCCAGCCCAGATCTGATTTCTTAATTGCATCCTACTGGTTTTGTCAATTTATCACTCACTTCCCCCAACGTGCATATGAATTTCTGTTAGTTTTTAATGGAAAATCTGACCTCAAACCCGTGGATTATTTCCTGGGCACCATCATAGCATGCAAGTACCAATCAATCACCTGTATCACTGGCCCTCATATGCTGTGACATATCCCAGATTAAAGGGCCTACAGGGAAATGCTGAATTTGACTCTGGCTATTAATTTGAACTCTTAGATAAGCCTAGTGAAAAGCAGCGTAGAGATTTGAGGCTCACACTAAGGGACATCTCAGGCATTATTTTTCTTCGCATGTTCTCCCTTTCCTTTGCTGTGGGTCTCTAAGAAAATCCAGTAAGTTAAAAGGAAGAATTCTTTCGGCTGGGGAAATCAGTTTCTTGCAATTCTTGCAATTTCCGTTGAAGATGGTTTTAAACATTCTGATGGTCCAGTTCATAGAGTGAAAATGAAAAAAAAAAAAAAAGAAGACTAGTGGTTTCAGAATTAAGAGAGTGGATTAATGATGGACTGTTTTGTCTCCAGTAAATCTGTATGCCTTTTAAAAGTCCAGGACTTGCAAGAAAATTTCTTCAAACTTTCCTTCCTGGCAAAGTAGGGCCGCCAGAGATCGTGCCTACAGAAATGAAGGGCTTTGGCTGCTGTCCTACAACTTCAATAGGCAACCTATGGAAATTGTGTCCTCAGTAACTATAATAATTTGATCTAAAGATAGGCCTAGGTTTCAGTATTGGGATATGAATCTGAATTTCCCTAAAGTTTGAGGATGTTCAGATCCAGGGCTTGGGTTCAGGCCCATCTCTACTTTATACCGGTATTTATAATACTTTGTCATGGACAAAGAGGTGAATACACTGGCACAGTGTGTTGTAAGTGTTGTAAAGCTCATTTAGAGAGAAATGTTTCTATAAAACCATGGCCAGCCTAGTGGTAGTGATCCTCTTCGCTGTGATGCATATTGTCCCAGATGTCTCACTGTAGTGGTTTATTGGGGTTGAGAAGGAGAGAAAGTACCTTTCGTCAGTCAGCATCCTCTCTGATTGTTTAAAGAGCTACACAGATGGACTGAGAAGGGACTCTTGTCTAGAATACGGGGATATAAACCAGACAAAACTGAGATCTAAGCATGGCACATAATGGCATGACTAATGAAAATATAATATGTAGTTTTTATAGCATATATTTTGACACCATGTCATGTTTTTGTTTGCTTGCCTGGATATATGCTGCAGACAGTAACTCTGAAGAAGCAATTCAGTCAGAGAGACTCAGAGAGGGAACAAACATACTAGTGATAGTCAAGTATCAGAGGGGTAGCCGTGTTAGTCTGGATCTGTAAAAAGCGACAAAGAGTCCTGTGGCACCTTATAGACTAACAGACGTATTGGAGCATAAGCTTATGGTGCCACAGGACTCTGTCGCTTTTTAGTGATAGTCAAAAAGTTTCTAAAAGAATTGCACCACAACTAACCTCACATTCCACATTCTAACAGCCTAGCCATTAAATTAAACGAAACTTGTACATCTATGTGAAATAGTGAATAGTCTGTCACTCCCAAGAGTATTCCAAAATTTAGACTGAACTAGGAATAAAATGTCTCGGCGTGTTCAAATGCAGCTTTTGAAGCTGCATCTGGGCAGCAGTAAATCTGAAATGTAACCTAAGGATTTTGCTAAGCATTTGAATTTGTGACTCATATTCAACAATTAGCAGGAAAAACAGCTTCAGTTTTTCTTGCAGAACACTTTAGTGAACTTCCTGTGTCATGCCATATATAGAATCATAAAAGCTAGAGGTGGAAAGAAAAAAAAAAAAACCACCTCAGGTCACTCAGTCTCGCTTCCTGCCAGTAAAAGATTGTGCCCTAGTCTTTTGTCCAGTCCAGTTTTAAATGTCTCTAGGGAAGGGGCTTTCCGTCACTTCTCTTGGGAGATTATTTCATATTCTAGTAGAGTTCAATGTCAGGAAGCTTTTCCAGATATTCAGCCTAAAAAAGTTCCCTCTCTTAATTTCATCCCATTACTCCTAGTTTTTTAGGTTGATACGAGGGAGGAAAATTTACCCCCATAAATACCCAATCCCAGAGAACATCCAGAAGGCCCCAGAGAGAAACAATGGCAAGGCCAAGATGTTAATCTGATGGAACATTACCAACAACTGCTGGCTGAAGTGACTGATGAACTGGTTGAAAAATGTCCCCATGGCTCCCGCAAGTCAGTGATTCTCTGAAGAACTTACATGAAATGAAGCAGGAAGGCAGAAGGGGCTGGAGTGCTTAAGGCATAAAACCTACGCAGCCCCAGTCCAGGAACAGCTGGCCTACTGACAAAGAACCACTGGCAGACAGACCTACACTGCAGACAGAAAAGCAGCCAAGAGAACCTTCCTCACAGACACAATTATATCTGCCAAATCACAGATAGCAGAACTGTGACATGCAGCAAACAGCCTAATAGAGCCCCAAATACCCATGCCAATATGAACAGTTCTGCCCAACTTCACAGTCAATCATTGCCACTGGGCACTTTACAGCTCCTGCCCCCAAGGGAGCTTAGAGACAGGGATCTTCTTTAACATCCACTCTACCTGGAGAAGTGGCCTGGGAACTAGAGAAGAGCTGCAAGAAGAAACTAGCTGCAGTACAGGAAAGCCTGATCAGGTCTTCACCTCAGCCCAGCTGGAATGGGAAAGGAATGAGGCTAGGAGACTAAGCAGCACCAGTGAACACCGGCAAGAGGGAGCAGCCACCAGGGTTCACCTTTGTGAGCTTGCTGCCTCTTCTTTACAGCAGATATCTTGGGTTGATAGGAGTACAGCCTGCAGCTAACCGTTGTGTGCCATGGAGAGGGGAGAGCAGAGGGCTGGCAACTTGCCGGCTGACAAGTTCGGGCTTGAGGGAGGACCAAGCAGCCAAGATATGGATCCTTAGAACCAAAGATTTATGCAGAGACTGGGCCCCAGAGGAAGAGACTCAAGGCTAGTTCTTAAGGGGTAACCAAACTCTTTCAAGCCTCCAATGAAGTTTTGGATGAAGTTACTTGTATGTTATCCAAACCAGCCTGCCTGTGCATCATATACCTAGGACAGTCTGCTGTGATAATTCCCTGGTAAAATTAAAAAAGATTCCCCTCTCCTAAATTGGATCCAACACAACAAAGGCCTCGCCTCCAGTGATAATGGAGACGTTCTTGCCTTCTAATACCACATTCAATATTTTTTTCCTGAGTTTAGCAGCAGTATTCGCTCAGGAGGCTGCATCACAAGTAACAACTAATGATTTCTTAGGTACTCAATATAGTAACTGTTTCAGGTTCACCACAAACAAATTACTTGGCCAGTGAGAAGGCTTGAGTGGGGATTCTAAGGTTGTACAATCAGGAAAGCAGCCGTGTTTGGGGAAATGGTAGGAAGAGGAATTTTGACATGAACTTAGTTGAGTTATTACTAATAACTCAATGGCACCATTTGTACAACAGAAAAGTTACCATAACCAAGGCCAGAAAGTTTTCAAAATGTAATTTTAGTTCAAAAATATTATTTATAAATGAACCCAAAGAAGAACGCAGTCTGAACGCAGGCATAGGAGTCAGGAACTGCCAAATTCTAATCCTTTCCCACACAAATTCTAATCTAATTCACACACAAAAACATCATTAACATGGAGTTAAAGGTACTCAGCAGCGCTCTGTGCTCCACCTGCCCTTCCAGAATGGAACAGTTTGAAAAGCTGGGAACACAGAGATACGTTGATGCTCCCTGCACAACCTCACCTCTGCCCCCAAGGAGGTGGCAATAGAAGCTGGGAATACAACAGTACCTCACCCCTCCCTAGCAAACCTGCCATTTTCTCTGTGGTGCCACAACTTTAAATCAGTATTTGGCCTGCTGGCCCACTGACCCCTCCCTGCTGCTCAGAGGGGTGCAGCGCAGATGGGAAAGCCCTTTGAAAATTAAAAGCACCGTGCATGTGTTAAGTATTATAGTGACAATTGTCAGATTATTTTTACCAACTTTTTAAAGCTATTATATTTTAAGTAGTAGAAATAATTAAACAAAATGATAAAAATTGTACAAAGGTACAAAACCTCTGAAAGAACATAAACCATAATAATGTAGGTCTGTTATCAACAGAAAAGAAGAATTTGCTTGCAGATCATTCCCTTTTTTAAACACTCCCTACTGTTATTCAACTAGATTATTGTCCTTTTCTTCCAATGGCCTAGCAACCTGCATCC